AGTTTGAGTCAGTGCTAAGCGAAAAATATGATTCTTGAGTGAGTCTGAATGAGTTCCACATTCTTGTGGTCACCTACGTTCATATCAAGAATGTGTACCGCGCTTCAGTATAAAGCATCATCGCTCTGATGAAGGCGGCAATATTTCATCTCAAATTTATTGCCCGCACGGTTACGCTAAGATACTCGCGTCAGCTGCGGTGCAGCCGCACGTTGAAGAAGAAGTTTCGGCCGCCGCTTCGTAACGGAGAGGGTTGATTTATGGCGGCACGAAGCCGGGCAGGAGCACACCGGAGTGGCCAAGAATGTGGGCTCCGCCGCGTGGCAGCTCTGCATAGCGAGTGAGCACTTCTTCAGGTGCAACGCGCGTATTTCGCAAATGCCAGCTTTTCTCTACCTCCTATTGTACGTGCGTGCGTTTGTTGAATTGAGCTTTTGTGTGGTGTTCTCTACGCTGATTTGTGTATGCGTGTGTGCTTACGTGTAATTGTAAGCATCGAACGTGCGAACTCGTGCGCCATCAGATTAGAACTGACGATATCCCCTTAAGGTAATATAGTGAACAACTCTCGGTATTACTTTTTTATGCACACCCCCTCGTGTAATAAGCCGCTAAATGTCTTTAAGGTAATAAATACAAATGTATGCTGCTCGCGCGACGGCTTTTCCTATCAAAAGGAACGACCACTTGAATGACGTGCTTTGAAATAAAATAAAATGAAGGCAGCGACCAACTTATCAAAACAGCAGCTCTGCCGGTGGCACGACGGCTCCCTGGCTATCGAGGCGGCGCACGTATAGAGACGGCGTGTTTTATTGCCTGGCCGTTCGTTCGCACCGTATATTCCGATCATGGACGGCGGTGGTGGTGCTATACCGAAATGCCGTGTGCGGCGAGCAGCGAAACGGTAGCCCCGGGGTCGACCACCTGTGGCTCGGCCCCCCCCCCCCCCCCCTCCCGCGATAGTGTTGTGTGCCTAATGGAAATTTCGCCGCCGTCGCTCGGGCCGGCACAGTGGTTCGCGTGCGAGGCGCCGATCAATGGTGCGCGAATAGCCCCGGGCTGTACTTCTTTCTAGCTCGTGCCTCCGCCACTGCGAGGGAGAGAGAGTTGGGCGTATTTTTGAATAGACTTTTCTCGCGTCGTGTACTACTGATCACGTGATAGGCAGATGGGTGGGAGGAGCTGCGATTCCTTTATCGCTTCTCTTTCACGCCGTTTCTAAATTAGCCGCTCCTCGGCTCGCGGGAGTCAATCTAACGGAAGCCCGAGGCGCGAATCTTCGTCGGAATGTGTGTGCGTGTTTCGTGAGGGGCGTTGGACCCTTAAGCCAAAGCCCTCGTTTCAACATTCTTTGATGTTTTTTTCTTGCTTTTACGCAAGGTAGACGTGTGTGGCGATTTTAAGGATGTGTTGCTTTTGCCGAGCTGTCGTGGTAGCCTTTCTGTTGGGCGATCGTTGACCTACCGTCAATTTCATTGCGTAAATATTCAACAAGGCTTCTGTCTCCGTTTCCACAACTTCAATGGCAGACAAAAAAAAGGGGGTGGGGCAAAGGGACGTGTAGTAAGATCTGTTTGCGATGGTAGGATGCGCTGAAATGAGTTATTCCTGGGGCGTTTAAGGCGCCCTCCATGGGCGCGGGAATCAACATTCGTGAAGGAAACATTACCGCACGTTGCTCGTCAACGTTCGTCCTCGGCTCACAGAGAAAGCGGATGCATAGGCAAATCTGCGAATGCAGGTAGGCTTATTTACTACCCTTTTGCAAGGTTTTTCTGTCTTGACTAATGGAAAAAGGCGAGGCTCTTAGCATGGATGCCTAAAGTCGGTACGCTATGCGAACGTTAATCATCCGTGAATAAATGATGGAGTTGTTCACCGGTAGCGCTGGGTTCTAGGTACGTATCGCCACTCGTGTTTTATTGGGTGCGGATGGTTGAATTACATTCGAAACCTTCCTTACGCAGCAACAAGCTAAAAATAAAAAGGGAAAGAAAATAGTAATTGTACAAATGCTGCAGGTGGGAACATACCATCGTACATAGCAACACCCGACGTTCAAGAACCTATCGCCGCATATCTATACGTCGAAATACAAATGTGGCTGTTGTGACACTATAATTGCGCGAGTGATTATTTCCCGTTAGCGGGAAGTCGGCTCAGTTCCTAACCGCCGCATACTTTCTTCATCTGCTTCCTTTTCTGTTCGCAGGGCGGGAGGGGCGCCGGCAAGATCTGGGGAAGAGACCTCTCCGCCTAGGGAAGGAGCGCAAAAGTAGCTCGTGTATGTGTCTTTCCCGGTCACGAGGGATCTCGTTTCCCCAGCTAACTCAACTCGGGAGCAATGGAGAACTCCCAGGGAAAGGGCATGCGCGCGCTGGCTGTGGGCCTAGGGAAGGAAAGTAGAGGGTGGGTGTGCTTGCCCGGGACCGAAGGTCATTGTCCTCTCCCGCTCGTAGTGCCTTGCGCGATCGTCGCGCGAGCGCGGCGATTGCTTGTCGCGATGTTTTTCTTTATCTCTCTCTTTAAAGAAAACGCGCGCAGGGCTTGGTTTGTTTGTGGTCTGTCATGGTGGCTCTCGCGATGATGTCGTCATATATTGTATGTTCGAGCGTGGGAAGAGGCTGCCGAGCCACTTGTTCGCGCCCGCTGCACTTTATGCGAGATTAAACTAGACGCACCTCAAATAAGTCCCCATTGGACGATGCCCATCGCTTACGTTTGTACGTCAATTTTTTTTGTTTGTGATCCCTCCTGATAAATGTTTCAACGCGTGTGAGTCGCCTCGTTTCTTCGCTGTTCTTTTGTCCGAAATACCACTTGGGACGCGGCGTCACGACCTGTGCGATCATCCGAGTTGCTTTGAAGGTTGTCTGTTTTTATTTTATTTTCTCTCTTTCCCTTGTACTTTATGGATGGCTGTTACAGGTAATGGTGTTGTTAAGTACGCAGCTGCAAAAGAAATAAGGAAAGAACAGAAGATGCAAACTGTTGAGCAGGCCTGAAAGGACCTGTCTACTTTTTCGAGTTTATCGCTGCTTTTGTAACTTAGCTTCAAATTGCTTAAATTATTGAAATCACAAGAGTCCTGTAGGTTAGGGTTGGTGATTGCTTTACGAGTTAAAGCAGCATACTTCATTAGTGGATTGGCCGAAAAAAAAACGAAAAAAGGTACGGAAATTACGCTTTAAAGAGGCACACTATTTGTCTGCTTTTTTGTTCATTTATTTAATTCAATTTGAAGCATCGATCGGCTGTGTGGTGGTGGTTGGGATGTTGCAGAGGCGGGGTTGGCCTAGCATAGATAGCGGGCGATTTTTCCGCCGGGGTGACCTGTGAGTTGTTATCGAAGATATGTAGTCAGGATGGTACAATAAGCAGTTGTAAAGAGAGGCGGAACTTACGGGGAAAACAAAGTTTTCAAATGTCTTATGCGTATAACCACTTTATTACTAGCTGTGAACGATTGCTTTTTTTTTTTTCGTGTCGAACTGCGCAGGCATAGCCAGGTGGAAATGGATGTTGCACAAAAGTCTGGGGGATGACTTCTTCGGCACGTCAATAAAGTTTAATGCCTACCTACCTGCCGATATCACTACAGTGGCCACAAATGAAACATAGTCTAAGTTTGCTTTATGTATAGGCCGGCGAAACTTTCTATGATCTCACTTATTTCATCAACGTGAACATTGCGTGTTGTGATGACTGCGAGCTCAGTTGCGAGCTGATGACCGTCGAAAAAAAATAAATAAGTGACTGAACTTTATTACAGTGTCAAGTTATCTGATCTATACCAACACAGTGTGAAACCCCAGCCCTTTTTGGTATTTGTTATGATGCATAATTGTCGCCTCTATCGCCGAGCTTGTGTGTCTTTCATCCCTACTTCTTTTAACTTTTCACACCTTTCCATTCTCATGTCCATAGCGGGCACACTCACTCGTGATGACCCGAAGGTCGCGGGTTCTATTCTGGTGGCGGCGGTTGCGTTTCGGTGGAGGCGTAATGGTAGAGGTCCGTGTACTACGTCAGTGCAAGTTAAAAAGAACACCAGATTGTCGAAACTTCCGGAGCCCTCCATTGCGGCGCCTCTCATAGTTATGTCGTAGTTTTTGGACGTAAAACTCTGGATATTATTAATCTCGCTCATTAGTTGACTCAGACTCAAATTGACTAGTGAGCCTTAGTCTGAGCGAGTCTGGCTCAGTAATACCTTCAAGAGTCCGAGTAAGTCTAGTTGAGATAAATTTTAGTGAGTGAGTCTGTTTGAGGAAAGTGTTGGTGAGTTTGAGTCAGTGCTAAGCGAAAAATATGATTCTTGAGTGAGTCTGAATGAGTTCCACATTCTTGTGGTCACCTACGTTCATGTCAAATGTTATCCAATAGTTCGTGCCAACGCTTCCCGCAGTGTCGTTAGCGTATACACTAACGAAACTTGCAAGCGAGCTTCTCCGCATGGTGTCTCATGTTGCGGGGAAGCCCGAAGAACTTGCGCGATGCGGAGAAGTTGGCCTGCGAGAATTCGCGTTCGGCAAGAAACTCTCGGATGATAATAAAACTTGCAGAGATATTTTAGGTAGTGCCAAGAAATGGCATTGAAAATTCGATGGATGGACAAGCTAAGTCGTTATTTAGATGTAGTGGTGCTCAGTGGCGTATGTGTTCTTCACTGCTGGGATGAAGAGGGGATGGAAGGTGAGGTTCGGAAGCCTAATTATGCATTAAAGGAGGCGTGCACAATTCACCCTTTAAGCCTTTCTGATGAAAATTGAAAAGCTCATTTTAGCAAAGTTCATTTTAGCGATATACGACACATACAGAGAGCGAAACAGAGCTATTAATTTGGGCCGCTAAAGTATGTTTTCCAGGGGGTACCATGGACACGTTCTAGGTGGTAGTGCACCTCTGCCTGGAGCCTGTGTCGTGGTTTTTTTGTGTGTGTAGTATATGCCTGAGCCGAACTGACAATTAAGGCATCCTTTGCCAACGATGTGCAGGTATTTGCCTTCATCTGCGGCCTGATCGTGATCCTGCTGATGATCCTGTGCCTGGCCTCGTCCAACTGGCTCATAGCGCACAAGTTTCGCCAGGGTCTCTGGGAGCAGTGCGTGGAGGAGGACGCGCCGCTCCCGCTGCCCTTCGGCCTGAACGTCAAGCCCGGCTGCTACGTGGCGCGCACCGTCGCCTACATCCAGGCAGCGGCCGCCCTCTGCGTCATCACACTCCTCTGCGACATCGCCGCCACCGTTATGACCGGGTGTGGCCTCTGCAGCAAGAACCCCGTGCGCAAGTACCTCATGTACAGGCTCGCCTTCTACGTTATGGTCTGCGCACGTGAGTATTACAGTACGCTTATTTGCGCATGCGTGCGCCCTTGGAAACCGCAAAAGCGCAAGAGCTTCCATTATCTCGGATGTAAGCCTTCTTAGTATCTACGCTTCACTCCTATTCTGCTAGACCTTTCTTTCTATTCCCCATGTAGTATGGCGGCTATGCCTACACATGCCATAGCGGCCATGCTGCTGAAGTGTAGCGCTCGAGGGCCCAGGTTTGGACGAACCGTGCCCCTGGGATTCGTAGCCTTTGCAGACCCATTCATTACAAATTTTTCTTTGCTGAACATGCATGTGCATAAACAGTTGCTGTGTTTGCATAGTTTCCTTACTCTGAAGAATTTTCGTAGTCCAAGAACCAAGAGATCTCGCTGTATGATTTAATACATTTTTAGCCTGGCATAACTGAAGCATGTGCTTCAGCTTCTTTGCTCGCCTTAGTAAATGCAGAACCCTGCAGATGTGTATGCCTTCAATACAAGTGCCACGAACTGTAGCTTTTTCAATGCACACTGCCAATAAACTTTCTATTTTTCATATGGTCTTCTGCATGTGTATGATGTTTGTTTTTTTTACCCTCCTGTGCTGCAGTGCTGTGTATACTGATTGCGCTGGTGATCTACCCGGCATGCTTTGCGGCCGAAATCGAGGAGAGCAACCGGCAGCTGTGGGAGTTCGGCTGGGCATATGGCGTGGGCTGGGGCGCGGCCATCTTCCTATTTGGCGCCATCCTGCTCCTGCTGTGCGATAAGGAGACCGAGGAGATCTACTACCGCGAGCGCGCGCTGCCGCACGATGGGGCGGCGGACTCCAAGGCGTAGCCTCCGGGCGTCCGCCTGGGCAATGGACGCGCCGTCGCCGCCTGAACACAACAGCGCGAGCGTGCCGAGGAAACGCCCAGGCGATCGTCGCCCGCAGTGCTCCACCCCAAGTCTGCCTCCCCTTACTGACGATGATGATGCGCTATTCATTGCCTCCGAACCCACTACCCCACCTACTCCAATTAAAGGAGCGTTTGAATGTGGAGGAAAGAGAGGACCACGAGCGGTTCTCGACAGAGCAGACTCTTGCATTCTGCCTGGCTTGGGTTATGCAGGTCTTTCTGCATCTCCACACCATGGCTGCTCGTTTGGGAAGCGTGCATGATGCGGTCTTCAGTGAAACGGCCTTGGGTTGGTAGAAAAGAAAAAAAGCCTTCACTATGTAACTGCTTGAGCTCTGTGCACCATGAGAGTGCTTTTCCATCGTGTGGAATGTGAGAAATTTTTCACCTTAAAACAGTCTCTTTAGGGATTCTTGAGGATTGTCAATTCAGAACTGAGGACATTGTGCACAGCTTCAAGGCTGTCATTTTGCAGGAGGTGCAGAGTACTAGTACCTTCTGGAAACTGAGCACGGGCACATGGTAACCTCTAGTCATTTGAATTGTATGACACATTTCCCTTCAGTGTGTCACTAGCATTGCGCAAAAATGTATGGCAGCAGCTTCCTTGACTTTGTTCTCATTTAGGCATCAGACTGAGCAGCCGTGAATATGTCTAAAAGGAGCTTGTATATTAGTTTCCAGATGTGCAGGCTCCGCTTCCCTCGGCACATCTATGACTGCGGGAACATCTGAGTAGATTGTCGGCAGCATGTTATCGCCTAGTTTGAGCAAGTGAAGCCGCACTGTGCATGTTTTGATCGAGTAGCCATGGCTTTGGATGGTGTAAGTGAGAGAAAAAAAAGCCTTGCAATCGCCCTGCCATGTCACTACCTGTTATTACCATCGTGAAAGAGTGCATTGAGTGCTTCAGACTGTGAGATATTTTCGTGCTTTCCTCGCACTGTTTGCGGATGAAGTTGTCCAGCTGTGTGTCTGCGGGTGCTGCTGCCTGCTATGCGAGTGCTGGTGTGCCTGATGTGATTCCTCGTCCACTCCAAGTCTACCGTCATCAGCAGTGTGAGAAATGGATGACTGGATGTGGAAATTGTTGCTCTGTTTTTTTTTTCTTCCTATTATTATTTTTGCGCAAGAGCAATGATGTGTTCGATTCAGCCACACCGCTTGATCACCTGCAAAGCCAAAAGAAAGGAAGTTGTTGCAGTGGTTCTTTTGTCAGGTCTACAGGCACGCTGCTGCCCACAATTTGATATAGGACAATGCAGGACGGTCCACCATGGTTCTGCGGACTTCGCACGCAACATCGTGACGCCCTAATTCACCGCAACTGTGCACCGTGGCTGTGAGTGTGTGTCTGGTGTGAGCATGCACGACCCCGAGATGAGTGCTGGGCCAGCTCTTCGACACGTACGGTTGTGCAGAAGTCGCAGCAGCAGACGACTTGCGGTCATAGTGCCAGTGTGGTGTGTGTGCTTGTCGTATCGCGTTGAGGTGTCAAAGGTGGCCGCATTCGAGCGGTCTAGTGGTTTGAGTGTTGATGCTGTCGATGTAGAATTGTGTGTAGGACGAGGCAAAGACGGAAAGGAGTGTAAGCCTTGATGTTATCGACTTTGTTCAGGAGCATCAAGTCGGACACTGTGTTGGATGTGCCGCGCTGTACGCAAAGTGCGAGACATGATGATATACGATGCCTTGATCTGCTGGTTTAACAGTGAATACACGACCTGTCGGCTTAGAGCAGTGCTCCTGTTTTACCTTCTGCAGATTAACCAAGCTATGGAGCCTTGAGGATGCGAAATCAGCCTCAGCTGAGATTGTTCTGTGCAAAAGCGATTGAATGGGTTTCAACCCAGTCAATCCATTTGGTATACTTTCCTCTCATATTCGGAAGCTTCAGGTGGCCTCAAATTGCTTGACATTGACTGCTCAGCTCATGCAAGGTGCCTGTGCCTCAACAAACCATAGAAGAAATGTTTGTGCTTAAAAGTATCACCTCTGTGTGATTCACTGGCAGACTCCACAGTGCTGATTGTAATTCGAAATTGCACTGGTTATTCAAAATCTTAAAAAGCAGAATGGACTAAAGTCGCGTGGCTCTAATCTTGTTTCTTCCGCAGTGGTCGTGTCACTTTTAGACCAGTTTGTACATAACAATAGCGATCTCTTTTATTCATTATGCTTTGTTCTTGTTGAACTGTTTCGTTAACTGCCTACTTCCCCTTATACCACATCATGCCAGGAGCGAAGGGATGATGAGCTGTAACGAAAATGAACATTCGTAGGGAACACTAGCTGTTCAGTGACTCTTTTTGCAAAAATGACTATTGTGTTCTCGCTTTGAACTAGCAGCAGCTGTAAGCCCACAAAGGCTGTCCATGAAAACTGGCACCTTGCTAAGTAATTTCATTGCAGACAAGGATTGCAAGGGGAAAGGTTGTGATGCAATTTTCGCACAGGAGCTTATGGCAAGTCCTTTTGTGTTGATAAGTTGAATGCTTTTTGGTCGAGTACTTCCATGTCTGGTTTCCTCAGTGGCAGCTGCAATGAGATGTTGTCATGTTTTTGGGTGCCGATTGTTGGTGCCAAGAGTCTGAAGAGATTACTGCATAATTGACACCCCGTCACATGGCACAATGTCATTTGCAGCAAATTAGATGGTATTTTAATGCTGTCTCTTTTGTAGGCTCACTGGTATTGTGAACAAGATTCGCAGTTGATAATGCTGAACCAATGAACGTGTTTTCCTGAATGCAAGCGTGCACAACTTGTGTGCCCTCGAGACAGTTACTATCTGATGCTTTTCAAACCATCCTTTTTGTTGGGGAAGCATTATTGACATGAATTTGATTTAACATGGGGTACAAATGGAAATGTGTAAATGAAAAGCGTGACTTACAACTTCATGTGTCATAGCACTCTGCCAAATAACATCACCACCAATTGTGAATGCTTTTTTTTATACACATTCAAACCAGAAACAGTCCTGCTGCAATGACCTTCAATAAATCATTTATTAAAAATGATTCTACTGTGTCATGTGACAGGAGTATTCTTTCACCTGTTTTCGTTTTTACTGCATTTTTCTGTTTCATAATGTTGGTTTGTTTATATGGGGCTGTAGGCAATCTGAAGATGAGTTCCTTAATAATATTTTAGTGGCAATTGCAATGTTTCATTTAATTGTGCATGCATTATGCTCACTGTGCAAAACCATATTTAATTTATTCCAATTACTATTATAGAACTTCATTCTCACATTCTTATGTTGCTTCAGGCTTCTTCACTATGAAGAAACATGTGTTGAGTGTTGTGAGCAACGTTGCACTAACACAACGCATTTTTGTTAGTAAAGAATATCCTGATTTTCACGTTTAACACGGATGTTTTGTAATGTGGCTGGTAAAGCAGCCCAATTTTATTTTTGATGTTTTATGTAATCTGGCATGTGTGCCCTGTGTCAACAATCTATAAACCACCTTACAGTTTACCAAGATTGGATTTTGTAAATCTTTCTGATGACTTTCAACCTCTTTGTTAAATATCATTGTGCCCTCAATTATTGATAGTGATGCCCTTAACTGTTGACTGAGATTGTCTGACGTGATTAGCAGAATGTTGACAGCTTCCAGTGGAGTGATTTCATGGTTGGTGTTTGGTGAGCGGGTGTTCTTGTGAAACACAACCTATGCAAAACAGATGGCAGCTTTCCTCTCTTTTTCTTTTGAAGATTCACAAAAAATAAAAGAGCCCACATGAGCTGAGCTGAGTGCCTGTGCACCTTGTTAGCAATATTCAGTCGTACATTGGTCAGATTTTTCATGAGAGATTGTGCAGAGCCTAAGCATTCTCTTTGTTCCGAACACTTTTGAAAACTTGTTCATTTAAAGGAGCACTGACACGAATTTTAAACATTTTGGGATTGCTACTCTAAATGAGAACATGGGGTTCGAGAGCCCTAAAAGGAGTATTGTTGTGCTTGGAATGCACCGCATATATTTTTAATAGACCATTATCTGAAAAAGTTGCTAAAAAGTCACTCTCGGTTTCGATACCAAAGGGTTGGCTTCTCCGTGACATGCCATGTCAGCGTGACATCACGGGAAGACTGTTATAATGGCAGAGCTTCCATGAGCTCGTGGTACATATGAACAACAATGAGTGCATTGTCACCAGTGACCCTGACAGCGATTTCTGCGATTCAGGCTGCATGGAGAACGCAGAGTTCGCAAATTCGGTGGAACTGAGTTTTATAGTGGGGATAGTGCCCATTGCGGTGGGTCTGGCTTGCTGGCACTCAGTGACGAAAACCTTAAAAATCTAAGAAAATATTTATACGTGTTACACACTCTGTGTGTGGAGAGTGTGAACACTGCATATCAAGGAAACGAAAATGCCCATGTTGCGATGTCTCAAAATCGTGTCAGCACTCCTTTCACTGAAGCGCTCTGAATATTCTCAAGGACACCTATTCAGCTTCTTCATTCTTTACTTTGTGAATGCATTTGAATGTTCATCAAGTTTTGCTATATTTAGATTGCTGTGTTTCAAAAAGCTGCCAGCTCTGTTTACTGCAAAACTAGGAAGTAAGCCATAGACAACTGCAAATGACAGAAAGCTTACTTCCATTATGATGAAGTGGACTCTCTGTAAACGGAAGTCTCTCTAACTGAGGTCGCTGCTTTAAGTTGCAACTACTGCCCCTACTATGATTAATTTTGTGCTTTAAATTAGGAACTCGGATCATTTCCTTGTAATGGAATTTCTGTTCAACGTAAAATGTTTTGTGGTCCTTTTAGATTCATTTAATGATAGTCCACTGTATACAGAACCACTTAAGGCTACAATATTATCTCTGCTGTGAAAGTTGGCTTTATTCCTTTAAAGTTCTGATTGTTCGCCATCATCATGTTCTTTTTTTTTCTTTTGCCACTGGGTTCTGCGAGGTGTGTGCGCGTGTGCGTGAGGGTTTTGCAAGTACGCATTGTCGGTTGCCGTGGGCAGCGCATAGGAATGAAATGTCGTCGTGCATTGGGAAGGCATCGAGCATGGTAGAGTTTCTGGAATGCATGCGTCGCTGAAGGGTTGATTCTCTGCCGACGCTTTCTCCAAGTTCCTCTCTACTAGAGTCAACCATCCCCTTCTTAACCTCGACATCCAAATAACCCCCCTTATCCTCTCATTAATTCTCCTCTATTTTAATGTAGCTTCTTGAATCCAACTAAACTCTGATACCAAGTACTACTGAGAGGGCGCTTATTGGTGTTCTGTTCACACCTTTCGTCAAGGATTGATGCCATGCGGCATTCTGTGAAACAAAATGTTAGTGGGCAAAGCTGCTCAACGCTACACTTTGCAAGCTATTTGTTATGGCCATTGCGATAAAGGGCACATTTTGAGCCTGGCTTTTTTTTGTATGTCTCGTTGATATATTCTGCCTCTTGCAGGTGCAGCAGCTCATTAATATCATTCAACCTAGTTGGTCTTTCATTATTCGTCATGGAGAGACAGCAAGGCATAAATGCAATGACCTTAATAATGCTTCCTGTACAAGTGAAACACCACATCAAGATATTTAAATTGGTTAAATCAAACACATCCTACTGAGATCGTGATAAGGGATCATGTTTGCCACATTTGTCCGAGCTGCTGTTCTTCATGTGGACACGTAAACTGTCCTATAAATTTGAGACCTCACTAAGCCCCAGGCTCTCTATAGCTTCAACGATTCCATCAATAACTTCTGAACTCCACACGAAGAGGTGTGTGAAGGTGTTGCACTCAGGTGCCATTATTGAAGCTTAAAGAATTTTTTGGTAGGTAGAAGTTTTTGAAGGGCGTTATCTTTTCTTTGCGCTGGCATCTTTTGCCTTCTTTTTTTGTTTGCTTCAAATATGAATAGGATTGCTTCGGCTTGCAGGACAGGTTTTGTGTGGATGATCCACGGTGCGACAAACATATGCCAACACAAGTGACGTCACACACGTTCATGCGAGTGACACAGCATACACTGGATAAATGGTATGAACACCTTTAGGAAGTCTGACGTGCAAGCAAGCTTTTCCAGACTCTTTTTAACTTTCTCCAGTGCTGGTGGATTCCTTAGAAATTCCCTTCCTAAGCCAAGACATTGAGATGCTCTGGCTGTTTTCACAACGCTGGCAAAGTGTTGTTGAGATGATATTAGGCTATTAAAATTGGCTATTATAACCAACACCAGTTAATTGCTGCTTGTGATCGACACATCTCCTGTATGCTTGCCTGAAGGAATCGCAAGTTAAATGGGCATCTTCTTTGATGGCAGCTAACCTAATTTGTTATTTATTTGTCATCCTTTCATACATCACAACTCGTGTGCCAGCATACAGTATAAAATATTGCTCTAAGACTGCTGGTAGCCAGGTTTAAAACACAATATTGTAGTAGTTCATGGAGGTACTGACGTTCAGGGAAATCGAAAAGCGTCTTGCAACCTTGACGGATAAGGAACTTGGGATAACGTTAATCATGTTTTCCTTTTGTCACTCTCTAGGCTCACAGATGCAGATTGTCAGTACATTACTGGGCTAGCTCAGAAATGCAGGAAAAGTCGTGCTGTGCATATGGCTTAGTGCTCGACATTTGTGTGAAAGGTAAAAAAGCCCCGAAAAAAAGGGTACTGCTAGAGGTCAGCGTTGCGACGCTGCAAGGAACTGTGTTGTAATTTGTTATATTTATTATGTGCTGAGAGTGTCTTCAGTGTGGATGTGCACTAGAGCTGTAATGTGTGCTGTTCTTCTATTGGACGTGTATAGCCCGATTGTTTTGTGCCTCGCAAATATGTATGCAATGAAAATTCACGAAGAACTTGAGTTTTCTTTTCTTTTGGAAGTGCGAGCTCTTTCACGAATGGCATCACTCTGTTGTAGCGGCACGAGCTACGGGCGTAGGGCGATAGCTATGTTTTTACATTTTTGCTTCGACATTTCCTGTGGGAAAGAGGTCCCTTACTTTTCTGCACTGATGTGCTGAGGGGAGAAAATTTACGCCGCTGAATCGTAGTATTGACGCTCGAGCGGCAGTTGTCGATCTTTGCATTTATTTCCAACTTAGTTCTTACTTCGTCTTGTTCTAAGCTTTCTCATTTCTTTTGAAATATTCTGGTAAGTGAGAGAATAAGCTCCCAAGTCGTCCTAGGATAGTGAATATTGGAACCACTGCCAAACTGTGTCCTTCGGACGCAGAATGCGTTATGGAGTTCTGGCGAGAGTCGCCAGATGCTTGTATCGTTTTCTTTGTATTCTCCGAGAATGTATGTAGCTTTCATGTGTTTTTGATAATGGATGTGCGTGCTTTGAACTCCTGTAGGTTCGGTTGCATGGTTTTTCACACTTTGGAATTGCGTACCAGCGCCGCACATTTTGCATCCTGCTCCATACGAGTCATTGCACGACTACCGACACACTGCTGTCGCATGAACGCAGTGCTTGCGCTGCGACGCTTGCTCGTCATTTCTCGTGAGCGTGTGCGACTGTTAGCAAGTGGAACTTTTCATTGTCATGTGTTCACCGTGAGGCGAGTGATGTCCAAATAGACTTTAGCCTGGAAACTGAGTACGCTTTATTCCTCCGTTTTGCTTTGTGTTTGTTTCATGTGCACGTGAAGGCATTTACATGCTTTTACGTTTGTATGCACAGTAAATTCAGTGGGCAGGCTTTTGCCAAGTCGCACTAGAACCTTCTCAAATCAATTTCTTGCTTCAGCACTTCCTGGGTGTTTATGTTAACTAAAGAGAAATATCCCACTCACTTAAAATCTGCACTTTACTGTAGTGCAGCAATTCATTTATTAGAACATTCATCTTTTGTAATAATCTAATCACGTGAATAAGTTCATGAAATATGACAGCAGTAGAGTTAACTAAACATTATGTGAATCGGTATGTTCCCAGACTATCAGTGCACTAAAACGGATAAACACTATACAGAACTGAATCTGAATGCAGTGTTTGTGTTATTGTACCGGACTCGTTTCCATCACTGTCACTGTGGTCATTGCATCTGTATATGTATGCACAACTTTTCCTTTGAAGGCAAACACTTTAAATTTGCATTTAATTTTTCTCCACATCGTAGGCTTCCATTAAGTGCTTGCTTTCATTCTCAATATTTTAGGAATAGAGGAGGATAGCTGGAGAAAGGTATTATTATTATTATTTTGCTTTTTTGATTTGTCTGTGCATTTCCTTTCGAGGAGTGTATTTCATCGTTAGTACCGTGCTGTACAGTTTAATGTTGTTGGTAAATACACAAGAAGTATACAAATGAACAAGTTAAGCTAAAAGCTCCACTCAGTTCGCTTGACACTGAGATTGCATATAAAGTGGGAAAGTCGACTACTAAAGATTAATGTGAAACTTTAGTGTCTGTATTGCATTTTTTCATGCACCGATAAATGTATTCATAGCTTTTGCCTCACCCTTTTCTGCATCGTACTTGAGGAACCTACTACATTTGGCTGCACCATTTTTGCATTCCCTCGATGCTTGGCAATAGAATCCCTTTTCACTTTCATTCGTGGGAACTGTTTTGGTGAGCTGTGTTGCACTGTTCTGCGTGGACATTGCAAAACTACGAAACTAGCTTGTGAAGTGTTCGTTGCAGCCAAGACGTTCCTTTTTTTTTTCCTATTCTTACTTGGGTGCCTGCACGGTGACAGTTTGGAGTTCGAGGGAATGTAGCAGAGTAACTATTTCTTGCGGTCAGTAGACAGCGACAGGTAACGAATGTGACACACTCCTCTTATGAAGTCACTGCCTATAGAAGCACTGAAGGTTGAACTGGTTGATAATCTTGGAATTTTCCGATGCAAGAAAAACAAGGGCAGCAAATTATCACGGGCCAACCGACATTTGTAGTCGGTTCTGCTTATCTGTGCTTCTTGAATTGTTTGAAGTCACTGTATGCTCTCTTATGAGCTAATCTTCTTCAGTGATTCATTAGCTTTGGCTGAGTCCTGCGACCACGGGCCATCCTTTCCATTCCCAATCAGTGAGCTCTACACTTAAGCGTGGTCGGTTTAAGAAGTGGTCAACCAATGGCACAAGTTGGCGTGGCCAAGAGAGGTTTTTATGCACGTCATACACGAATATATGCTACATCGTGTCACCTGGTAGTCACAAGTGCAGCTGAGCACCGAGTGAGTTGCAGAAAAAAAGTACTTGACTGTGGCCTGTGAACCTCTGAAAGTGATCGGCCATTACCCAGCAGCGTGCAGCAAATGGATATCATTACAGGACCAAAGTTATGATGAGGAAATATAAATTGGCATGCTCGTTTAGAGGCAACATATTAGTGGTGCTAATTGGCTAGTGTATAACATGCAGGCATGCTCGCAAGAGACGGAATTCAGTGAACAATGGCTATTATTTGGCAAATGGATAAGAGTTCCATTTGATGTGCATTAACAACCGTATTCTTGACCTGTCACTGGCCATCTAAGAGAAGCAGCTTCAATTTTACTCCATGCCCGTACCAACTGTTTTTTGGCAATTTGTGTGCAATGTGATATGTTCCAATATGATACCGATACCATTTTGTTTTTCTTCGAAGGCTACAGTGGTCCCCTTCATTTTTTTTTTCCTTGCCGTATTTAAAGTCACGTGTTGCTTCTGTAGAATAATCCGTGATGGACTTTTTTTTTTTTTGCGAGTTGCAGCTATTGCAATGTTCAACTTGGATTTTTCGCTTAGTTTTTTTACTTGTTTTTGTTCCGTCCATATAAATAGATAGCCTGCTAAACAGTAGGATACTTTTTTGTTGTAAAAATAAATACAAATCAGTTTTAGGTTAAAAACTCGTTTCTGTTTTCCTTGCTTCTTGTTTTTTTGTAAATACGATAGAAAGCCAAATACTTGCCAGTTGCTTTTGCATGTGGCGAGTGAAGGCACAGTACTCTGGTGTAGCGAACTGCTAGACTAGCTTGTGATGATGTGGGTTGTGCATTTCAGCATTCTTTTGTATGTGTGTGGTTTTTTTTTTCTAACATGTATAACATTTAACGCTGCTGAACAGCTTGGCTGTTGTAAGCAGACAGCAAGTCTTTTACCCAAGCTGCAGAAACATTTGGAAAACATATTTTTCTTTCACAAGCAAAAGAGTACACTTATAAACATATTTACTGGGGCAACACCCAAGACAAACATCCATGGTAAGTTCTGGCGCAGATTGTCATTAAAAAGCACTGCAACCATTCTTAGATGTCCAAGTTATCATTCTGGTAAGACAACTATTGGGGCTACTTTGTTTTAACTGGAAAACTTTAGTGCTGGTACAATGAGATTCCTTGCGATGAAATAAAGCATGTTCAAAGACAGTTCTTTTAGCGACTTTCACATGGACACTTGAAAAATGTATGCGAAGTTGATATGCTTCAGTACTGTTGTCTATGCTTGGGACGAAGTGCTGTCTGAATGAAATCTACATGCAATTCTCTCTATGGTAGACATTTCACCCACGCACACTGCCATCTGTGGCTTTCATGTGTGAAAGTTGTTTTGTGGTGTAATTAATGAGTGGGATAAAATTGCAAAAAAAAAGCAAAGTATCCAAGCCTGTGCAAAGAGGCTCGCATAGATATGTACATTAATCTTTCGAGTGTTTATAGAACTTTTGATGTGCTTGCCGCAAAAAAAAAAAAAAATGTTACTGCCTACTTCTGTGTGCAAGCTAATTGCAGGTGCAACTCGTGTGTGTGTGAAAGTTTTGCAGACTTTTTTCACTGTGTTCGCAATACAGCTTGTTTTTCACTACCATCTCTCTCGAATAATTCCTGTCAGAAGATTATTATTGTCAATGTTCCACACTAGCCTCAGTTGCCAGTTCCTCTTCAATCACTCTTTTTGTTCTTCTGTTGCTGAACTTAGTTCAGCAGAGAAACTCTTCTAATGCGGTTTGTTTTCTGGCAAGATCAAATAAAAGTTACATTTCGACTGTTAGCTTGTGTCTGTGTCATATCAATTTTGCTGCCAATACATACGATTCCCACTGTGCTCTTCAAAGTTTCCTAGGCCATTGTGTCTGCTTTACATTTCATGACTATGCTTAAATGAACACACTGAATGCACACAGTATGCTTGCATTATTGAAAGACACTGCACACCCACTTTTTGTGTAATACAATTATCATGCACGGTGAGTTCCACCCACAAGCATAGTCAACCTCGTAACCCGGTGCAGCGGCAAACCAATTGTAACTGACTGCACCATTTCAGTACTACATAGTATCTGTGGTGCAGTTGTATTTCATTACGTCCCTGTTCTTTCAAGTTAACATTATGTTGATATTGTTACATTGTGTCGATATTGCCCTTTCGTTGCATCAGTGATGGAAGTGCTGCTCCTATTGCTACAAAAAAGAAATTATGCTACATGCTGCATGGAAGTGAGGTTTTTGTTAACTACTCCGAATCTACTCTGAAAAGGTGCGGGGAAATGATGCTGAGGTTCTTTAGCCGTGCGACCGATCCACAAACCCTGAAGAAATCGAAAGCAATCTGTGTAATATAGTCTCAGTATGCAGCTATGTAGTATGGTACTTGTGGCAGAAATAAACATCTGGTAAGGCTGAGCACTACCAGATAAATGTAAGCACAGTTACATATACAGTAAAAGCTCGTTAATTCGACACCTGTTAATTCAAAAAATCCGATAATTCAGACGGCTCTATTGGTCCCGGCCAAAGTGCATGTTAATCTATGGGACCAAACCTTCGTTATTTCATCGGAATTCGGCTCCGCACCGCTTAATTCGGACAAGTGCTGACGGCTGCTGCTACACAAAAGTGTGATAAAGCAGCGCTGGAACCACTGGAGTGAAACCGAAACCTGAGTGGCATCGCCATCATCATCAATTAGTGGGGGCGATCGCAGCGTCACCGAACGTCGGCGTCTTCTTTCTTCTTCACTCAGCGCCTCCGACGCCATTTTCCCTTCTGTTGTCGTGTCGGAACCATCTCTTCTTGAGGAGTTCTCTTTTTCTTCCATTGTGACCGTATTTGCATGCCACCACCATCGGGCGCTACAGTGATGGCAACGCCGAAAAAGCGGCAGAACTACGACGCGAAGAACTTGGCGATTAAAGTGGAAATTTTGGAAGCACTGAAGAACGGCGAATCGCGACAGCAGGTTATGACCAAGTACAACGTGAAGCGGAGCACGTTGGGAACGTACGTGAAAAATGAACAACAGATTCGACAAGCCTTCGAAAGCGAGAAGTTTCATGCCTCTAGAAAGCGGTTGCGAACCGCAGCTCATCCCAGCTCGAAGAAGCTTTGCTCCGGTGGATTACTGACTGTCGCAACGCGCATCTGCCTTTGAGCGGACCTCTCATCATGGCGCAAGGTGAGAAGTACGCTGTAATGATGAACATTGAATCGTTCAAAGCGTCAGAAGGGTGGTTTGCGAGGTTTCGAGAGAGACACGAACTTGTCTTCAGGAGTGTGTGCGGCAAAAAGGCCAGTGTTGACGAAAGCGTGACCACCGAGTGGAGGAATGTGAAGCTGCTGGAGCACATCGCCGCATATGAACCACGTGACGTGTTCAATGCAGATGAAACTGCTCTATTTTTCAGAGCTCTGCCCGACAAGACGGTGTCTTTCAAAGGGGACGCGTGCATTGGTGGCAAGAAGTGCAAGCAAAGGATAACTGTGCTTCTTGCTGCCAATATGACTGGCACGGAGCGCTTGCCACTACTTGTCGTCGGGAAGGCGCTTAAGCCACGTTGTTTTAAGAACGTTAAAAGCCTTCCTGTCGAGTACACAGCGAACAGGAAGGCATGAATGACATCGGACATTTTTCGCGGCTGGCTGCAGCAGTTTGACCGGCACTTCACGTCGAAGGACTGCAAGATAATTATGGTTGTTGACAACTGCAGTACCCATAACTGTACAGTCGAACTGAAGAGCATCAAAGTAGTTTTTTTGCCGCCCAACAATACGTCTGCTCTTCAGCCGATGGATCAGGGTATCATTCACTACGTGATGTCGAAGTACCGCAAGCACCTGCTAGAGCGAATGATCCTATGCTCAGTAGCTGGAAAGTTGTATCAAGTGGACTTACTCGGCGCAGTGCACATCATTGCCCACGTGTGGAAAAACACTCCGCCGCAAGTCATCACCAACTGTTTTCGGCACAGCGGTTTTGTGAGGCCCGAGCATGCAGCAGTAGCTGACGATGGCATCGAGGAGGTGTCAGCCGAGTCCACCGACGATGACTGCCCGACTTTCGATGCTGTCCTTCCCACAGATGTGGCTTTTTCAGGACTACATCGCGATTGATCATGGTGTCGCCATGAGTGGTCTCGTGACCGATCAAGAGATTATTAATGATGTCACGGGCGCCCATGAAGACCACGATTCCGACGAAGAATCATGCGAGGAGATACAGCCGCGTCCTCATCGCACCTCACGGGAAGTCTCGGAGGCGCTGTAATATTGGAGGACGCTTGCCTGAAACACTCCCGACAGCTTCCGTGCTGTTGGCCATTTGGAACAGTTAAGAAAAAATGTGAAGTCAGCCGGAATCTGCTCGAAAACGCAGACGACAATTACAAAATACTTTAATAAATAAAGGTATGCTTCTGCAGCTTGATTTTAAATGTTGTTTTCCCTGTTCATTCGTTAATTTGGCATTCGGTTAATTTGGACAGTTTTTCCGGTCCCGTGAAATCCTAATTAACGAGCTTTTACTGTAACTGTTGCCAGAGGAGCAGTTTATAGTTGGTATGAGATCATAGTAATGCCTTCTTCACATTTCACCAAAATAGAAAGACTGCGCATCATGTTGGGAAAAAAAATGTACATGAGCTGAAAATTCCTGTTCTTACGAGATTAGTCAGATCAAAGCAAATGTATTTCATCACATTGAACATAATCAGCCAAACACTATCGATGGTTGTACGAGCAGCATTTAGTAAAGTGAGTTTTCCCTATGTGTAAGCGACAGGACTAGCATCCTATGTTTCCATTAGAAGAGCATTCATATGGGGCAAACATTTTTTCTAGCAGGGAAATGAACATGCATGATCGAAGTTTCGGGAACAAGTTGCATGTTTTTTTTTTTTCATCTCGCCTTGCACTAATTCCAAATCGGAATAATTTATGGGTGATTCAGCTCTTCAAGCCACCTCTTTAATCCTTGTTTAGCTGCATTTAAATCAAAATCACTTGAAGATCCACGATTTCTTTTCATCACATGCAGAAGACCGACCATCAATGCAATGTCATCTGCATTCGAAGGTAAGGCCCATGCCTGTTGTACAGCCACAGCTAACCTTGAAGCTTGTACCCAAAATTCCCGACGTCTCTTTCAGCTGGGGAACCTCACTGTGCAGCGCAGCGATCATAGTGGAGGCTTCTTGAATGTTGAAGCACTGCCCCTTTAACATATTCATAGCAACCTACTTTGAATTTGCACTAATCAAGCATGTTTTGTTAGTAGTAGTTTAACCTTTATACTGAGCCTCTTGGACATGCTCTTGCCATTTTCCAAGGCATACCTATTGACCAGCTTTGAGCGCAATGCCGTTGCTGTAATATCATCCTGTTATGACGTGATCTGGCATTTCATATTCCTTTACACATCATTGGTACAACAAGAAACCAATGGCCAAAGATCTACCAACCCTTTTTTTTTTTGGAGATGGTAGCAAGATAGATCTAAGAAAAATATCAACCATTATCTATTGTTGAAGTTTAAGTGAAGCCATAAAGATAGTTTTTTGATGTTAGTATAGTACGATAAGGTCCAAGTAAGCATTATTATATGGTTGACATATGTGGCATATAAGTCAAGAATATGAGAGCATTCTTCCTGTCCATGTGTTCATTATGAAGAAAAATATTGTGATATTTTGTCTCTTTACAATTAATTCATTCAACAGCTGGCTCCTGCTCATTGCTTCATAGTAATGCAAAATGATGCTGTTGTGTTCCAAGCACCCCTGTGTCACGAGCGAGCCTCCGAACCCGCGAAGGACCGGATGCTGAAACTGCTTCCAGATGTTGACTCCTCCCCTTCCCCCGCTCGGCGCAAACGAGCCACCGTCGTTTCCCCCGTCAGTTTGGCCGCCGCTTCCATCCGAATAGGAATAAACTTGTTTTTAACCGTTCGAGGCTGTCTGAGCTTTTTGGACTACCGCGACCAACGCGTACGTCTATGGGCCGACGAGGAAGTGGATTTGGACCAACGCTACGCAACGATATTGACAAGCTACAAGCTATGGCTATGCACGGGCTCCCAAATCGGCTACCCGAATTCAACGGCTCATCATGGTCATCGTGGTTTGGACGCCTGCAATTTTACTTCGAGGCTAACAACATCACTGATGCAGCAACGAAGAGGGCCAACCTGCTAACGCTGTGTGGGGAGCAGACTTACGACACAGTCTGTGCCCTGATTCAGCCATGCACTCCAGCAGCCGTTGATTACGACGACATCGTAGCAGCTCTACAAGAGCACTATGACCCAAGGCCATCAAAGGTCTACTGTCGAGCCCGCTTCCAACGACGAGACCAACTGGAAGGCGAAAAAGTGGCCGAATACGTAGCGGCTCTCAAAAAGCTCGCTGCTGACTGCAATTTCGGGACGTTGACCGCGACAGCTGCAGCTACTGCGCAGGAGGGAGGATCGACTGCCACACCTGCTAACACCACTATGCTCCCCTTGGACGTTATGTTGCGTGACCGTTTTGTGTGCGGACTGCGTGACGCAAGCCTACAACAACGCCTGTTCGCGGAGACGGGTCTCACGTTCTCCAAAGCCTACGACATCGCCCAACGAGCGGAGAGCGCCGGTCACCAGCAGAGGGATATTCGACGGAACGTCGAGCTGGTGCATCACACCAGTCAGCAGTCAGGTCATTCCACGTCTAAGGCGAAATCAAGCAGAAAGACACGGCGCTGTTGGCGATGCGACGACATGCACGATTCCCAGGTATGTCGATACAAGACAGCGACCTGCAATTTTTGCCAAAAACTGGGACACATTGAAAGGGCATGCATCTCGAAGCGCAAACAGCTCGGACCGAAGACTTCAGTGCAACGGAACAACAATGTCGACGCACAGGAGGGCCAGGCGCAAGATACAAGCCGAACAGCACTAACGTCATCGGCACTATATGACTTAAACGCCGTTGTGAACTTCGGAACGAGACCGAAGATTACAACCGAAATTATGGTACACCAGCGCCCTATCAGGTTTGAGGTGGATTCCGGAGCAGCATGTACGCCCATCAGCGAGGACACTTTTCGCGCTACTTGGCGTGAGAACGCGCCAGCTCTCCAGCAAGACGACACGCAGCTGAGAACGTGGTCCAGACATTCTCTTCCACTGCTGGGCTGTGCCAACGTAGACGTGTACTACAACGGGCAGACCCATCAGCTCCCCTTGCTAGTCGTCCACGGTTCTGGATCAAGCCTTTTAGGACGAAATTGGTTCACCCCCCTTGGAGTGGTCATTGGCGGAGTTCACCACACACTCGGTTATCCGTCAGTGGAGCAGCTTCAAGATAAGTACAAAGCGGTTTTCTCCGGAGAAATACCAGGGAACAACGGACCTCCAGTCACACTGGAGCTGCGGGAGGATGCGACACCGAAATTTTTGAAAGCTAGGTCGGTGCCTTTCGCCCTACGAACGTCAGTCGAGAATGAGCTTGATCGACTGCAGGAACAAGGGATCATCGAACCGACGCAACATTCGGAATGGGCGACACCACTTGTTGTCGTCCGAAAGAAGAACGGTACCCTACGCCTCTGCGGAGACTACTGAAGCACTGTCAACCTGGCGACAAAAGCATCTTTTTACCCACTGCCGACACCAGAAGAGGTTTTTAGCACGCTTCGTGGTGGAAAAATCTTCAGCACCTTGGACTTGACACAAGCCTACCAGCAGCTGAAGGTGAGCGAATCAACGTCTGAACTGCTCACAATAAACACTATTAAGGGTCTTTACAAAGTTAAAACGCTACCATTCGGAATATCTGCAGTGCCAGCAATCTTCCAGAAATTTATGGAGTCTACACTTAGCGGGATCCCAGGTGTTTGCATCTACTTGGACGATGTTATTGTCAGTGGCGCCTCCAATGAAGAGCACACAGAACGCTTGGAGCTCATTTTGGAAAGGCTAGCAAATGCTAATTTGCGCATCAGTAAAGAAAAATGTGTTTTTGCGGTGCCTGAAGTGAAGTTTCTTGGACATCAAATTGACGTGCAGGGTATCCATCCCACTGAAGACAAAGTGCGTGCAATCACCGAAGCACGAGCGCCTACTAACAAGCAAGAACTGCAGTCGTTTTTGGGGCTATTGACGTTCTACGACCGGTTCTTAGAACATCGAGCTACAGTGGCCAACGATCTATATCAGCTCCTGCAGAAAGAAGTCCCATGGACTTGGTCGCCACGCCACCAAAAGTCATTTGTTGCCCTTAAGCAACTACTTCGCAAGTCTACTGTTCTGCGACACTACGACGAAAGGAGACCCCTACTGCTAGTCTGTGACGCATCACCATACGGAGTGGGAGCAGTCCTCTCCCAAGTTGACGACCAGGGACGGGAAGCCCCGATCGCTTTTGCTTCGCGCACCCTATCGCAGGCAGAGAGGAATTATTCCCAGCTAGATAAAGAGGGACTTGCCATCGTCTACGCAGCAGGTCACTTTCGGCAGTACATTACCGGCAGGAAAGTGACTTTCATAACAGATCACCGGCACTTATTGGGTATTATGGATCCCCAGAAGCCAATGCCACAGACATTGTCGCCGCGAATGACACGATGGTGCATCAAGATGTCGGCGTACGATTACGAACTCGTACATCGCACGGGGAAGAAACACCAGAACGCCGACGCACTAAGCCGCCTGCCGCTAGACACCACAATAGATGAACCACCCCCGCCGGGGGATATACTCATGTTCGAGGCGCTGCCGAACCCTCCGCTAACAGCTGACACGGTAGCAGCATCAACGCAGGAGTGCACTGTCTTGAAGGAAGTCTACGCAGCTATACAAGAAGGCAACGTGCAGAAGCTGAAGGGTGAACACTTCAACGCTTACCGCAAGCGAGCTGCGGAGTTGAGCACTCATCGCGGTTGCGTCACCTTGGGATCAAGAGTTGTAATTCCAGTGGCACTTCGCGAACAGGCCATGTCGCTTGTCCACGCAGGTCATCGAGGCATTGTTGCCATGAAAAAGTGTGCCAGAAGTTATATGTGGTGGCCTGGTATCGACCATGATATAGAATTAACAGTTCACGATTGCCAACCTTGCCAATGCAACCACAGAAGCCCGCCAAGAGCCTCTATTCCTGAATGGGAAAGACCAGACACGCCTTGGCACACCCTGCACATTGATTTTGCTGGACCTATCGAAGGGTGTTCGTTCCTGGTGGTTGTAGACGCATACACCAAGTGGCTGGAGGTAAAACAAATGGCTACAACGACATCGGCAGCAGTTATCGACACTCTGTGGTCGTTGTTTGCAACGTTTGGCCTACCGCGCAAGGTGGTCTCGGACAACGGCACTCCGTTTGTGTCCACGGAGATTCTCAAGCTTTACAGCGACAACGGCGTCTCGTCTGTTACATCAGCTCCTTGTCACCCGGCTACGAACGGACAAGCCGAGCGCTACGTGGCTGAGCTAAAGCGCGCCCTTACTAAAGACCAGACTGGGACAATGCAACGCCGCATTGAGCGCTTTCTCTTCAGACAGCACAACACTGTTCAAAGCACTACTGATCAAATGCCAGCGAAATTGATGTTCGGACGAGAAATGAGAACCCAGCTGACAGCAGTTGTCCCGGAGCCCTCAGCGAAAGCACCGTCGGAGGAAGAAAAGCTCCCGCATAGCAGGAGAATCGAAAGTGGACAGTGCATATACGCCCGCCAGTTCCACAGAAAGCCCGGCTGGGTTGAAGCGACGGCACTCAAACGCATAGGTTTGCGGTCATGGCTCGTCGGCATTGGTGGAAAGGCCACACGCCGCCACCTTAATCAGCTACACCGTTCAGGTAATTTGCCAAGGGAACCTCCCATTCAAGCAGCCACCTCGACGGAAGCTTCATTCCACTTAGCCTGGCATCTCGCACCAGATGAATCGGCGCCGCCGCCCGCCGGCCCTGTACACAAGAAAAACGACACCCAGCGAGCGGAGGCTTCTCTTCCTAGTGCGTCCAGAGCGTCCACGCGCCCACGGCGGCCCCCAGATCGCTTCCAAGCGACAATCTAAGGAGGGAGGAGAGTTGTGTTCCAAACAACCCTGTGCCACGAGCGAGCCTTTGAACCCGCGAAGGACCGGATGCTGAAACTGTTTCCAGATGTTGACTCCTTCCCTTCCCCCGCTCGGCGCAAACGAGCCACCGTCGTTTCCCCCGTCAGTTCGGCCGCCGCCTCCATCAGAATAGGAATAAACTTGTTTTTAACCGTTCGAGGCTGTCTGAGCTTTTTGGACTACCGCGACCAACGCGTACGTCTATGGGCCGACGACAACACCGGACATAACAGATGCCTAATAAATACACATGCACTAGCACGTGGAAAAAACAGATTAGAACTATCAGTAAGAATATAACCTTTCTTTTATTCTTCCAGAAATATACACTTATCTAAGGCACAAGCAGTTAGCATTGCTCGAAACCTTCCACAATCAAAACAAATTTCTACAAAACATGTAAAATATGAAATTTGCCACATTGAATGGAGCTCATTGCCATCTGAACAAAATTCAATGACGATTTAGGGTTTTAAAGGTACATGAAAACTAAGCCCAGATGCTGTTCTTTGATTTACTGAATGTAAGTACTGAATTAAACACCACTGCCAGTAAACCAGCTTCTCACAGACGATTATGAATTCACGCGGCCCAGTCAGTGTCAGGGCAACTAGAAGTCTCGCTCTTGCTTACACTGCTGAACATGTAATTGAGCTAACAAGGCCTTAAAATTACTAGGTGGTTGCTTTCGTGTGCAGAATGACATGGAAGACACTACAGCTGGTGACAACCTGAAAATGCCATTACACATAAGAACACAAAACACTGCCCAGACAAAAAATTAATTTTGCAGATGTAGGTCCGAAATTATTTGTAAAGGTGTGCCAACGAATCACATTAGCTTCTTTTTTGGGAGGTCGTCAAAGAGGTGCGCACCTTTTCATGCCACAGAACATAGTTGATGGGAACCACACTGGACCAGACAAAGACGTACCATGGTATCCTCACTAGTATATCCTCACTTCACGTTTTGCTAGCTCTACCCACTTCAGCATGCCTTCTTTATATCAGGGCATGGTACATTGCACATAGCCACATATAAACTACCTCTACAAATGCGCCACTTGCTGACTGTTCTCTGTGGCATTACAAGGTAAAAAAATACAAATATACTATTGACAATCTTAATAAAACAATGTATGTGTAATAAAGAACACAGCTTCTTCAGCAAAAAAAAAAAAACCTAATTATGCCTCCTTTCTAGGAGTTTGTGGTTTCATAAGCCTGTTGGCTCGATGAACTTGCTCTCACTAGTTTCTGGGTACTACACAACAATATCCAAGGCTGGTACATGCAATAGTCAGTGGGCTGATCTTAGACAGCGTGATAGCAAAGTGAGTTCACCCACGAGATAGTAGCACCAAAATTAATGTGGCCAGAGAACACATACTCTTGCACTAACTTAGGCTATCCAGCTAAGATTGGCTCTGGCAATTTTCAAAAAGTAACTATGCTCAAAAAGTTCCAAACAGTGTTAGTGAGTTCGTTTCCAGAGAAAACAACACACAACATGTTTCTAACAGAAATACAGACATAAAACATATTTTTTTTGTTATGTTCTTGCATATCACCACCTGATTGCCAGCTGTGTAAAGCAGCTTCAACTTGCCAAGAAAGAACCTTGCTCCTTGACATGATGAGAAAATGGCTGGAGCCCTCTGACAAACAACACAGTGCAGCCTTAACGTAACAGTTTAAGATGTCCATGGTTTCATGGCACTGTTATCTTGCAGGATGCAAACCAAGGCTGCTGCCAAAACTATGCAGTCATTTGAGAAGTTCATGGAAGTCAGTCGCTATCCTCCTATGTGAATACCCAAGTTCACACCATCGAAACATAGTTTAAGATCGGAAGAGTGTGCTGTGGACCTTGTTGATCAGAAGCACATCTCTCTCGACTCTTGTCAAACCAAGGATTATCACGAGCCCTTGACACTCTTGATGGCCGCCTGAAGGACTTTCCACTGCTCCTTGGGTACTTCGGAAAGCCTGTTGAAAATGCTGGCATGGTAGTTTAGGTGACCCCCGTCAATTCTAATGACCTGCAGATGAGAAATAATTGCAGAATCTTTAGGTATTATGTCAATTATGCATGTACGACATCATTTCAGTACGAAGTACAGTATTCAATGGCAAAGCACAATTTTTCGGCGAGACCAATGAGAGATTAAAACCCCATAATGTCATTCTCTGCCTGCCAAGTTATTTACCTTCACAATAGAGGGCTTTAGTACTGCCAAGGGATCAACGTATGCATCATGCAAGGTATTTGTGTTGCATGGCATTGAATGCCATGACAGGGCTTTTAGTACACTGCAGTGCCCACATACATAATGTGCATACGTCTGTATAATCTAAAAAATTCTTCACTGTCACTATGCTGCCGTGAGCCCGTGTAAATGGGGGCGGTGGGCTCGTCAGGCTGTCGGAAGGCAGCTTTTATTTGCCGCCCCTCTGTCTGTTTATTTCAAGTAGCCTCAAAAGCACGCGATGCTGACTTATACGTGGTGCTGGCATTCTGAACAACGTGGAGTACTTCTTGGTTCAGCAGCTTCTGCACGTATGTCGATTGCCAGCTTATGAGCTATCTCACTGCTGTTTGCCAGGTGCAGTTCATGCTCTAAAAAGGCCCGCTGAAGCCATGTCAGCCTCCTGGCAGCCACTTGAATACCGATGCATCTCCCGTCACAACGTACTTCAAGTTACTTGGCATCTTAAAGTCAATGCACAGCTGCTCTAATGAGACAGCAACGATGACAGCTGCATGACCATCTGGCAAACTTGATGCGTTCAAAGTGAAGTTAATCTCTAATTTCAATGTAACGAAATAATATGTGAGGTTTTGAAGCCCTCGTTGGCATGAAAAGTCTATACAGTCGAACTCCTCTACAACGAATGCCACTTCAATGAAATTTCAGCGACAACGAAAATTCACGATTCCCGGTCGGCAGTCCATAAGAGTTAATGCATAAATATTGTCCCTACAACGAACACTTTTTCTTCGATCGTCCCGATTCAATGAAATTTTATGATGCAATTCAAGGCTAAGATACTCATTGCTATGCAGTAAACTCAATATTCAACAGTTCAATGCATTTTCAGGGCCTGAGAATGCGTCAACGAAGTCTAAAACACGCAATGGCATCACCAGAAACCGTCGCTATAGGAAGATAAAGCAACGCATGGTGGCCCTGCGACTCTGGACAGGCAGCGCCATCTTTGGTAGAAATCTAGAAATCAGGGATGTATATTGTACCTTTTTCCTTCCCGCCAATGTGCTGACGCTCGCTTACGTGCTTGTGCAGAGAGGGCACGCTGCGTTTGAGTCATCTCACAATGTACCGCCTGCAGTGCTGCTTCACAAAGATCTCTTACCTTGACAAGCACTTTCGAGAAGCGAATCTAACAAAAGGAGTGAAGCTCGTTAGTCAAGCTTATGATGTGGAGCAGACGATGGAAGACGAGGACACCCGAGTCACAGCAAAATGCATTTCTGAGGTCCTCCGTGATAATACCGTGTATAACGTATGCCTCGAGGTAAGTCTCATTCTGCCAACATGAAGCTGCGTACTCTATCGATGTGCTGTGGTGTTGTCATTTACAGAAACCATATAATTGTTGTTTTGGTATGGTATCTAGCAGTAGCAGCCGTGTACTGTAATGTGCAAATGGTTGTGGCGTGCTGAAAAATAAACAAAAAACTGAAGTTACACGGTCATGGCATTAAAATGTGTGAGAAGTTTGAGTCATGTCTTCCGTGCCGTGGGTGCATGACCCGCTGACATCGCCGCAAAGCAGCAAGCTGAAGTTTAACCACAGCGAGTCTAATTGAAATGTTCGCCTCGTTTTTTCTTTTTTTTTCAGGCTCTCGTGTCATGCTTGGGCTATCTTTTGCGAACGCAGCTGCGTTGGCCGGCTGCGACTTGCAGGGAAACTAATACAGCTTTACACGTGGAGAGCGTCCTTTGGTGTTGTCTGCATTGTTGTGTCGGCCCACAACACAACAATGCTGCGGACCTCGCCGACGCTCCCGTTGGGCCGTTTCTTCCATCGCGGAAAGGCAACTTCGCACAGCGAGCGTTTCGTTTGAGCGCGCCAAGCTTACGGCACGGTGCCTGAAGTTCCCCGCACCGACAGCAGAATGAGAGTGTGTGCACGTGTCACACACACTCCCATTTCGGCGAAACACACCGACTCGCCTGCGACCTCTCCTTCAGTTTTCAGAGCTCGCTGCCAGGGCCAGGCGCGGCGTTGTCGTCGCTCTGCAAACTTGAGCTTCGTTTCCTATACCGCTGCTGTTCAGCAAGCATACGTGCCGCCATTGCTCGATGGCGATGGCAATGAAACTTCCCTGGCCGTGCTTTCGCCACTGGCTTGCTTTTGAACCGCAGACGATCTGAAGCTGAAGCTCAGTCGCTCAGTTAATGGTTTCTTTCACGCAGCTGCTGGTTGCAACCGCGGATTGATGCCTTTTCTGATTCCCATGCTTATCACTTTGTTGGCGCTTGGCCAGTGTGGTAACTAATCACAGGTTCGCCCAAATAAACCGTTAATTTCCAACGTAATGTCTCCTGTCTTCGGCCACGTCACGACCCCGTGACATTTGGTGGAGGTGCTGCTCCTTTGATGTTCCGGACGCCCCCTTCAAGCCGCGATCCCAGCCCAAGCGGCAAAGAAGACACGGACGCTAACCCTGAACAGCGAACAAGCCGCAGGCAGAGGGAACTACAACCAGAGTACGGGCCCCTTCCTGAAGCAGACAGGCAGACCCGGATCCCGAATCATCTACTGCAAACCATGACCCGCCCCGTGCAGCCTGCACCACTCCTACTCCGGCAACCCAAAGAGCCGCCAACTTTCCGCGGTTGGCCACTGGAAGACCGGGAAAGCTGGATCGAAAGGTCGACCGCGTCGCCGCCTTCAATGACTGGACAGACGATGACAAGCTCCGGCATGTGTATTTTGCCTTAGAAGATGCTGCTCGAACCTGGTTCGGGAATCAAGAGCGAAGCCTTACAACATGGGACGTCTTTCGCGCCAGGTTCCTCACTACTTTCGCAAGCGTGGTGCGCAAGGAGAAGGCCGCAGCTCTTCTCGAAACCCGCATGCAGATGCCAAATGAAAACGTGGCGCTATTTACGGAAGATATGGTTAAACTTTTCCGCCACGCTGACTCCGACATGTTCGAGGAGAAGAAGGTCCGTATGCTCATGCGAGGAGTAAAGCAGGAACTCTTCGTCGGGCTGATCAGAAACCCGCCAAAGACGGTCGCTGAATGCATTTCAGAAGCATCTACAATAGAGAAGACGCTCGAGGTGCGCACACGTCAATATAACCGTAGCTTCTTGTCTACAAGCTACGCCGGCATTCAAGAGCCTGGAACCACTGACTTGCGTGAGATGATCCGAGTGATCGTGCAAGAAGAGCTGCGAAAATTACTTCCTTCAGCGCAGCCTCACGTGGAATCCATCGCGGACGTCGTACGCCAGAAGATCCAGCAATCGCTGGGCGTTTCTCAAACTCAAGAGCCTCAGCTGCAAGCCATGTCCTATGCTGCTGCAGCCCGCTGCCACGCCCCTCCTCCACGCGCACGCCAAAAACACTGCCCCCATCGCACTTCCGTCACCAGACGCCACCGCCGCCACCACCCCCACCGACGTCCTACCGTTCGCCAGCGGCCCAGCCAGTGCGCCGAGGAAGACTGACGTCTGGCGCATCCCTGACCACCGCCCGCTCTGCTACCACTGCGGCGAGGCCGGACACACATACCGCCGTTGCCAGTACCGACAGATGGGACTGCGTGGCTTCGCCTTCAATGCACCTCGTCCACAGCCAGGAGAACGGCCACGTGACATCGCCGACTACCTGACAGACACTCAGTGGACACCACGAAGCCCTTCCCGTTCGCCGTCGCCCAGCTGCCGCACGTCACCACACCACCGGCAGTACTCTGGCCCAAAGCGGGGCCGGTCTCTTAGCCCATATCCGGGAAACTAAGGGCAGCAACCGGTGGAGGTGTGGTTGCTGTGCGACGAACTACCGAAGATGCTCCGACGACGCCGCGGCGGAGCTTTCCGAACACAACGCCAACCAGGCAAAGCCCTGACGGCAAAACCTCACTTACCGAAGGTGACCTGACGACGCAACATGGAAGCAGCGGAACAAGCCGGCGCAGCCGTGACCCGACCCCACGCCCTAACTGTAATGCGAGACGGCGAACTAGCGACCTTGACGTTCTTATCGACGGCCACAGTGCGACCGCTCTCGTCGATACTGGAGCCGACTACTCCGTCATCAGTGGGTCGTTCGCCGCGAAGTTAATGAAAGTTAGGACAGCTTGGGAAGGCCCTGAAATCCGCACAGCCGGAGGTCATCTTGTGACGCCTGCAGGAATCTGCACAGCGAGAGTCACAATTAACGGCCGTATTTATCCTACAGACTTCGTGATCCTACAGCGTTGCTCGAGAGATATCATCCTTGGCATGATTTCTTATGCCTCCATGGTGCTGTCATCAACCTAAAAACAAAGGCGATAACGTTATCCACAAAAGAAGCACTACAGCCGCGCACGCCGTCAGGACACCATGCCTTGAATGTGCTGGAAGAACAAGTCACCATTCCGCCTCGCTCAAGCGTCATTATTTCAGTCGGCGCTCCTAAATCACCTGACTTGGAAGGCGTCGTTGAAGGCAGTCAGCATCTGTTGGTCACCCGAAATATTTGCGTCGCAAGAGGAATTGCAGAGCTGCAGGGAGGCAAAGCAACGGTTATGCTCACAAATTTCAGCAATGAGTATAAACATGTGAACAAAGGAACAACGGTCGCATACATTGAAGAAATTGTCGAAGCCACCAGTGCTTTCGCCCTCGCCGATTCAGCGGAACCTGCTCAGAGGAACCAAGCCCCTCCCATAGCTTTCGACGTCAATCCCAGACTTCCGAACGATAAGCAAGAACAGCTCAAGGCCCTGCTCCTGCAATACGAAGATTGCTTTCGTCGTCATCGAAATTCGGCAGACCTCAATCACGAAACATCGCATCAT